TGGGTCATCCCAATCCATCCTTTTCTTCCACAGGTGGCACACAATAACTTTGGCTTGGGTGGTATAAGGCACTATGTACCCAAGAGGGCCACACTGGCTAGTAAAAACTCTTTAGATGTTCCTCATAGCAGCCAGTGAGCAACTGATGTATCTGTGCTTGTAAGTGAGGGTGTCAGATTTACAATTACAGTGCAGTCTGAGGGCTGCCTCTGGGATGTCAGGCTGACCTTGGCTGAGCCACAACTCACAGCTGGATGACCTGAGGTCTGGAGGAAGGTGGTAGATGGCATGTGGCTCGTTACTTACCCACTGCCTCAGTTCGAATCCCCCATTGGCCAGAAGGCAGCACAGTTTGTCATTAAGTGTCTTGGCAGCTGCTAGACATGTGAGACTCTGTAAACAGTTGTCTACATAGAAGGACTTGTCAATGACAACACACACGTCTTCTTCTGGTTGGCTGTGGTCCATGAGATGTTTCTACAATGCAGACGTTACGCAAAAAGAACTGCAGGTAGTTCCAAAGGGAAGTACTTGCCACTCGAAAACATCAGGGAGATTGTCTTGCTTCATGTTCTACCATACAAACCGCAGCAGGGTTCGATCTGCAGGTAGGAGCCTCATTTGGTGGAACATGCCTTAGACATCGCTGCTGAAGGTCACAGCATGCTTCCTGAAACATAATAGAACTGCTAGCAAGGTAGGACTGAGAGTGGGGCCTGGTTGGAGGAGCTGGTTCAGGTTGTAGCCTTGGTATTGGAATGATCAATTGTACCCTACACAGTTCTTCCCATTATGTTGAACCATATGATGAAGTATATACCAAGCTTCACCACTGGTCTCCAATTAGTGCTCCACCAATTTCACTACATAGCCAGATTGTACAAGCTTATTGATCTCCTTCTGACAGGTAGAAGCTTGTTCTGGTGATTTGGTTAGGCGCTTCTCTATGCCTCTCAGGAGAGGCAAAACTGCTTCTGGAGTGGCTTTCAGGAGAGGCATGTTCTTGATTTGAAGAAAAGTGTGGCATAATGATCAACACCACTGACACTGACTTTCACTGTCTGTTCTTGCAGGAGTCTGACTGCCTCTTGGCCTTGTCATGCCCTAACTGCTAACTTTTCACTGCGGTAGAGGAGCATATCCATCTGCCATAACTTCTCCACATGAGAACAGCTCTGTGAGTGATGGGGCAGATGTGAAGAGGCAGTGACTTATGTTAGTGATGGATTCAATGGCTTGAGCTGGTCCCTGTAACGTCCATCTGAGGAGCGTCTTGACAGCTGCTGGTCCACCAGGTGGTCATAGTCTGACTGGCTCTAGAGGTATAATGAGGTGTGTATAGTCAGCACCAATCAGCAACATGGAACAACTCTGTTTAAGGAGGAAGGGGGAAACCTGACAGATGTTTATACTTCTGCTGGAGTGAGGAAACTGAATGGGAATGCTCTGCTAAACTATGCTGCTCAGCTATAACTCAGCTATAAAGGCATTCTGGATACTGTACATCTTGTCACCATTGGCTGCTGGAGAAATTGTGAAAGACACAGCCACCCCATGGCACTTCTCCACTTCTTGTCTGACTGTATGAAGAGCTAACACCTCTTTACTTCCTTTAAGTCCCAACTATTTGGCAGCTGACTGGAACAGGATTGTCCGTTAGGATCCATCATCTAAGACAGCACACGTCTCAAGGTGCACGTCACCATTCTTCAGGAGTACCTTACTGATCTTCAGAACCACCTTGTAGTTGTAGACAGGACGGTTGACGTACATGGCTTTGTTGGCAATGTTAACAAGGCAGTTTTCTGCTGACGGTGAAGCTGATGCTTGTTCCTCCTCTGTCCTCTCATTCACCTCATGCAGTACTAACAGATGTCTCCTACAACAGGTTTTGCAGGGAGCTTTAAGTGTACACTTCCACTGTAGAGTAGCCTGTTGGGGGAGAATCAGTTTTGTTTGGTGTTTCCTCAGACTGATGAAGCCTTCCGAATGGAGGGCAAAATGTCTCAGCACAAAAAAAAAAAAAAAAGAAACCGTCCAGATGACCTAACTGAACATTGTTAGATTCTATTGTCACAAAACCAGACTTTTGGATTCAGAATGACAAAACACAAGAGTAAAAAAAATGAAAACAATTTTATTTATAATTGCAGCTGCAGCCATGGAGAGGATCCAGAAGAGGTAGGGTCGTGACCCAGAAGGCAAGGCAAAGGTCAAGCATGGAGAGTCAGAGTTCTTTAAACAGATCCAAGGGGTAATCCAAAATCCAGAGTCAAAGGGCCAGAAAAAGTTGTCGTACCAGGGTCAGAAGGGCAGAGCAAAACCAGGAAGCTAGGAAGATGTCCAGGTGCAGATGGTGCTGCTAAACTGCTTGATCCTGAAACTTTCTCAGTGCCCAGGAGGATAGTAGCAGTCTTATTTGAGGGTTTGGGAGTGCACTTGGTATCAGGCTTCTTGCTAAACGACTCTTCTCTCTTCAGGTGTTTTATGCTGTCTTCCTGAAATTCTAGCTCTTATTCTAGCCAATCAGCAAAGTCAACGAAGGTGGGAATGTCCACTTTCAGGGTGTGGATAAATTTCTTAAAGCTGGCATTGAGGTCATAGGGAAGTTTACTTAAGAGCCTTGAGACATGAGAGCCACAGATTAACTCGACTTGGCCTCTTTGCCCCAATTGTCCTAACATGCCTAGTGATCGCACATTGAGGGCAAATATATGAAAGCTCTTAACATCACTGCTGCATATATTTGGATCATCCATAACTTTGCAATCCATTGCTCTGAACGCTTGTGGGGCTGTCCATGTATCCTGATGAAAGCCATCACTGTATATGTGTAAGGTAAATGGTAAATGGACTGTACTTATATAGCGCCTTTCTGTCTAATCAATATACTCAAAGCACTTTACACTACAATCTGTGTCCTCATTTACCCACTCATACAACACTCTACTAGATCTCTACAAAGCTAATTGAACAAATCCTTCTAAAGAGACTAATCATAGCATTATCACATTCATTCACCGATGGGACACACATCGGAGGCGATGAGGGGTTCAGTGTCTTGCCCATGGACACTTCGGTATGTGACTGATGGTGGATTTGAACCCCCCAACTCTTGCATTGGAGGACGACTGCTCTAACCACTCAGCCATAGCCACCCCGTAAGGTTGCCTTGAGTTGCAATATGAGTCTGCTACAAGTGAAGCTTCTTCACATTGGAGGTGATCTGTGAGGCTCTGGTACTTGTACTATATCTTTCAGTGGCATCAGCTGGTAATAGATTATCTAAGGCAATCTTCATATGTGCAAACTCTCAGGGGTCTGGTGATATAATGTTGGGGATAGTGGGCTTCGACCCCCTGTATGTGGTCTCTCTCTGTGGCTCATTAAAACAGGGTGCTTGGAAAAATGAACAATCTCTACCTGAATGAGAAGGTGCACTTTGCTGGGTAGTGGCTGCATAGTACAGGTTATAAGGTAGACCACTGGATGGTTGGGAAACTCTCCGTTGAGTGAAATCTTTTGGCAGATTTCCTCGGGAGCTGAGTGCCGGATATGGTAACTCCTAATATGCTGGAAAATTGGTTGGGCATTGGTAATGCCCATAACCACCACCATATACACTTTGAGGTAGAGGAGGTAGGAATAGAGGCTGATGGACTGCTGGATGGGACTGTAAAGCAACCATCAGGCTCTGGAACTGTTCACAGAGCTCAGTGTTTTTGGCACGTCTTTTTGAGAGCAGCACAAAACTCAGAAACTTGGTTGGTCTGCTGCTCCCTGGTGGCTTGTCCCATAGATTGGCTAAGCTCCTCATCACCCCTCAAGTTCATCAAGTTGAAGCTTTGACAAATTGATGGTAATGGAGATCTGGTGGTTGAATGCTTAAATACTTATTGCTCCACTCATACTCCCCTGCAGCTGTAATTGCTGTCTGGAATTTACTCTGAGCCCCAGGTCCACTTAAGTCATAATCTGACAGGTAGGAAGGCACTGATATTCTCTGTCTGGGTCGAGTGTCCATTTTTGCTGTCTCTGGGTTTTGCATCCTTAAACAGCAATCTGCTTCTCCGGGTCAAAGGACCAATTAAAAGATAGTGAATTTATTGTGCTGGTTGGAAGGTTCACATCACTGTTGTGAGTCCGATTAGAACTTCAAAGAAAAGTTGAGTCACACTTCAGTGGGTTTAACTTGAATTTGCTGTTTAATCTCCACTTTGAAGTAACAGTGTAGTTTTGTATTTCCACACACACAAGTAAAAATGAAGTAGCAAAAAAATGCAAACATCAAGTTTATACGTATAGTGCCAAGTTACAACATAAGACATCTCAGGGCACTGAACTAGAAACATTAATATACATAAAAAGTAAGTAAACATCATTTATCTGAGGAGCAGACTGCTTTGAATTTAACTTAATTGCAGACTCTCATGGGCAGCACAGTGGCACAACTGGTAGAGCTGCTGCATCTCAGCGAACAGGTCCTTGGTTCAAACCCCGGTCCAGGGTTCTTTCTGGGTGGAGTTTGCATGTTCTCTCCGTGCATGCGTGGTTTTCTCCGGGTGCTCGAGTTTCCTCCCACAGACCAAAAACATGCATGCTAGGCTGATTGGTAACTCTAAATTTTCCCTAGGTGTGAAAGAGAGTGAATGGTTGTTTGTCTCGTTTGTCTCTATGTGGCCTTGTGATGGACTTGCGACCCGTCCAGGGTGTACCCCGCCCCTCGCACAGTGATTGCTGGACATGGGCACCAGCAACCCCCGTGACCCAAAATGGAATAAGCGGGTAAAGATAATGGATGGATGGATGGATGGACTTGTTGTCCACATCACTGTGATCCTGCACTCCATTCTGTATTTAATGAAAGTACAAGTTAACGTGTAACTTGTCCTCTTGGCTGGTAGTTTTCAGAGTTACTCAGTGTCCATTCAGCTGAACTTGTTGTGAGAGACAGAGTGTCCCATATTGTGTTTTAACTCATGACAAGGTACTGGACTCACATGGCAGGACAAAGACCTGGAATGGAGACCAACACTAACACTTCTCGCTCTCGTCTGTCGGACAGTTTGCTGGACGGTGAGAAGATTGTAGTGACCCTGTTGTTGTCAGGACTCATCTTAGCCATGTTGGGTGTTACATTTACTGCCTTGGGCTGGCAACACTACCAAACTAACACCCACTTTCAGTGGACTCAGCTGCTGGGCCCCATTCTGATCTCAGTCGGAGGAACCTTCATGCTCACCAGCTTCTGCAAGTTCAAGTTAATTTGCTGTTGCAAACAGGAGGAGGAGGTGTTTGTCATACCTGTGCGGGAACAAACATCCAGAGGACTCCCTGTTGTAGTTCATGGCATAAATCCTCCTGTCATGCTACAAGGAGCCACAACTATGCTCTGTATTCCACCTGCCTATGGCTTCATCGCCCAGGAAATACACCAACAAAATGAGCTCCATTCTGGCCTTCCTTCATATAATGCTGTCCACAGTGTGGACAGTGTTACAGCCGAGGACAGAGGGGATCACAACGCACAGGCAGACCAGAGAAGAAGCCGGTAAGAAAGTTTTTTCTTAATAAACAATCTTCTAGCAAAAAATAAATAAAACATTGAGAAATAACAAATGTATTGCCTTGCTGGTTAAATTTCATGTCAACGTTACAAGATCTTGTGCAGTACGTTAGTACTAGGAGTTGAGTTGATAACATTAACTGCAGGGTCATACTAAACACCTTCTTCCAGTGTTGAGAATTAAATCCACAAGAGCCTTTTGTCCATTATCTGACAAGTTCTCCTTTTAATACTAGGGTCTGTGCACTAGCAATATGAGGCATTAAACCCCTCCTGCTCCCCAATGCTACTCAGATACTGCCACACCAAACTTAATCTCAGTCATCAGTCAAGGATATGTTTCCTTGACTGATGAAACCTTCCAGATTGAAGTCGAAATGTTTCAACACAAAAAAAGAAATTGTCCAGATGACCTGACTGAAAAATGTTGGATTTTATACCTGGATTATTGAGCATGGACTTTGTTGTTAATCTCAGTATCTGTAAAATTGACTGGGAAATAGCAATTTTTGTGTTTGCAAAAGTAAATTAGTAGTGGCAGCAATTTAAATTATGTTAATTTAAATCATGTTAATTCCCATAGTTAATCAGTTGCAGATGAACTGTCCATAATAAGCTTAAAATCCATCTACTGGTTCATGAAAAATTTTGTGAAGTCCCCCACCCCCCCCCCCCCCCCCACACACACAGGCAACAACAATATGGTCTGCTTTTTGTTTTTCGGCAGCTTGGGCAGCTGTGGCTGAATGGTTAGCGCAGTCGTCCTCCAATGTGAGAGTTGGGGGTTCGATTCCACCAGCAGTCACATGCTGAAGTGTCCCTGAGCAAGACAGTTAACCCCTAAATGCCTTTGATGTGTGTCCCAGTGGTGTTTGAATGTGATAAAGCACTGATCAATCTTTGTACAGATATAGTAGAGTGCTGTATGAATGGGTAAATGAGGGCACAGATTGTAGTGTAAAGTGCTTTGAGTGTCTTGATCAGATAGAAAAATGCTATATAAGTGCAATCCCAAGTAGATGAGAGGGTAGCTTCCCTTTGCCTTTGAATGGGGGGACAGGCTCTGACTGTTGTTTGTGCCTACTCGTTGAATTACAGTTCATATCCGGCCTTCTTGTAGTCCTTGGCAGGGGTGCTGGAAGGTGAGCCAGCTGGGGACTCCTTTATTCTGTTGGGGGACTTCAGTGCTCACGTGGGTAATGACAGTGTGACCTAGAAGGGCGTGATTGGGAGGAACGACCTCTCTGATCCGAACCCGAGCGGTGTTCTGTTGTTTGACATCTATGCTAGTCATTGTTTGTCCATCACAAAAACCACGTTCGAACATTAGGGTGTCCATAAGTGCATTTGGCACCAGCAAACCTAGGTCGTAGATTGATGATTGACTTTATAGTTGTGTCACCTGAATTGCGGCCATTTGTTTTGGATGCTCAGGTGAAGAGAAGAAGAGAGGAGCTGAGCTGTCAACTGATCAGCACCTGGTAGTGAGTTGGATCAGGTGGCAGGGAAGATGCCGAACAGACCCGGTAGATAAAACATGTAGAGAGGGTTTACTGGGAATGCCTGGCAGAAAAATATATCAGAAAGATCTTCAACTCACACCTCTGGGAGAGCTTTAACTTCATCCCAGCTGAGGTGGGGGACATTGAGTCCAAGTGAGCCATGTTCTGTGCTTCACTTGTTGAGGTAGCTACCTTGAGCTGTGGCCGCAAGGTTGTCAGTACAGTATGAACTCGGTGGTGGACACCCCGGGTAAGGGAGGCTGTCAAGCTGAAGAAGGAGCCTTATTGGGCCTTTTTGTCTGGTGGGACTCCAGAGGCAGCTGATGTTTACTGGATGGTAAGGTCAAGCAGTCCACAGCCTTGGCTGTTGCTGAGGCAAAAGCTAGGATGTGGAAGGAGTTTGGTGAAGTCTTGGATAAAGACTCTCAGTCAGCTCCCAGGAGATTCTGGCAAACCATCAGGTGGCTGAGGAGGGGAAAGCAACACTTTACTAACAGTGTGTTCAGTGAAGGTGGGGTGCTGTTGACCTCAACCAGTGATGTCAACAGGAGGTGGAAGGAATACTTCTTGAACCTTCTCAATCCCACCAAAACATCTTTCATGGAGGAAGCTCAGTCGGGGGACTTTGGGGTTGGTCTGTCCATAACTGTGACTGAGGTCACTGAGGTAGTTAAAAAGCTCAGAGGCAGCAGGGCTCCAGCGGTGGATGAAATTCACCCTGATTTCCTTAAGGCTCGGGACGTTGTGGGCTGTGTTGTGGCTGGCTACCACGTCGTGTTCAAAACAGCTGAGACGTCACCCTCGGTATAAAAGATTTATTTGACAAAACATGGGTTACAGATATTCAGAGACAAACAATTACATTATTAAAATATATGCATATATTTTGGAGCATTAAAGAACGAACCGTCTCGGTGTGCGCCTCCCGGAAATGCTCGGTGGGCGTGTGTCATTTCCGGCCTTTTATCACAGTTTGAGAAGGCTAGCTTTCTGTTGCTAGGGTTACGACTCTAGCCCGCCCCCTCAAGGACGTTAATATCTGCATTTCAGATAAGAAGTTTTGCCTCACTGAAATCGTTCGTTTTAGCTGTTTGTTTAACGTGATTATACCTTAGTGATACCAAATGATTTGAGTTAAAGTTGTTTATTTCTAGGAATAATTAATAACTATTAATTGTTATCTAACTCATGTTTGCGTGTTCTTACTTGATCCTTTTTATACTTCTGCTGTTGTAGCTTACTGTGACAATTAACCCTGTGTCCTCTCAGCTAAACCGACCCTGTATTCAACAATGATTAAATGTTAATGGTTATTATTAAGAGAGATCCTGAGGGATCTTATTTAGTCAAACTATATTGTCTAAATTAAAGAAATGTGTTCTAGCTTTATTTATGTTAATCAGTCTGCTATCTGGCATGATTTGATTGCTTGTAATATATCAAATGTGAACTTGTAAAATTATCCTTAGCTAATATGAGTTTATATTTAAAGGTCAACTAGTTAGAATTAGCAGACATTTTCTATAAACATAGTGCAACCCTGGAAGAAAGACACACACACACTTTGTATAACATGACATTTGAATGCTTGATAGGAAATATAAAAAGGTATAAAAATATGAAATCCAACATTCCCTCTTTTGATCTCCCCATTTCATGGGAGATCACCCCTTTTTGGATTTGTCCATATGGAAATGACCCAACTTACTGCAACCCTCCAGGGGTCCTGGACCAGACCCCTGGTTCAAACCCTTCGAAACCTGTAAAAAATACCAAGTGCATAAACCTTTATAAAAATATGAAAAAACTACAACACTCCTAGCAAGAGATGAGTGTCCCACACTAAAATAAGTAAAACTCCACCCTAATACCAAAATTGACCTCTTTTGAACCACCTTTAAAATACCTCGTGGGATTTTAGAATGATGACATGCCCAATTGAATGGAGTAAAATTTTGAATAGTTAAGAGTTTCCAATCAAATCCACGACCCTTCTCTGGTTGTTTTTCAGAATGACTGAAAGGAAAGACTAGACACTCATATTAAACAGGAAAAGCCAACACCCCCAATTTAAACAGTACTATCTAGCAGGTCTTCAGTTCTCGAGCTTGCGGTGGGAGGCCTTGTTCGTCCACAAGGGTCCTTTGGTGCTCGGCGGGATTCGGCCCGCGGTGATATCTTCATGTAAAGTCCTCAGAACCTTTATCAGTCTGATTAAACATTCTAAATGACGTGTGTGTATTGGGACAAAACTAAAATCAGTTTGACGCGTCTTCTGTTCTTCACGGTCAGGGCTGGTAATCTTCGTCCTTACCCGATCCACCTGACTGACCGACTTTAGGCAGAGCGGAGACTCCTTCTCCAACGTTTGCTACTGCCTTTTTCCAACCAGAACAAAGGGGCAAAGAATGAGCTCCCACGAAGGTCCTGTCACCTCCTCCAGGTGTAGTGGGGAGCTGATGTTCCAGCAGATCAGCCTCAATCAGGTCCAGCAATCGATTCCGCTCCTCTCCAGGGGCGCACTGGTTGTGGTCGTAACAGGTGTCACTCTCATTCTGGAGACTGATGGCGTGTGATGTTCTCTCCACCACCTGGTGGCGTCCTGTCCCTCTTTTCAGCATGACCCAGTCCGGTGTGATGGTTCGTAGTCAATCTCCTCAGTCAGATATTCTCCCTCCTGATGAGAAAAGCTGGACACCAAAGCTTGCGAATTGTTAAACACCCTGCATGGCCTTTTGATTATTTTATCTGTGAGATCCATGACCCATTTGTGGGCCTGGAAAAATGACTGTGGTTACTTCCTAGTGAGTAAAACCTGTTTCTTAATTATGGGATACCCTGATGGTCATTATTGCTACTGCTAGTGTGAACTCTTACACTGTAATGTTATAATAAAACAGAACTTCAAAAACTGAAATAAAATGCTATTCTTACATTCATCTATACACTTGAAACTGAAATGAGGTACATACTGGACTTCTCCAGGGATACCTGTGTTCTCTCGTCTCTTCTTTCATCCTTCAAAGCCTTTGCAGTCCACAGGTCTACCTACAATTAGTAAAGTTAAAACATACACAACAACACCCTGCAATAAGCACTCCCCATGCCAGCCTCCCTGTGGAAGTGACTTCATTAAATCGCTTGCGCACAACATCAAAGTACAATATAACCTTACAAGTTTTAAAACAACTGACCTACAACACTGAGAGAAAAAATAATTTAATCTTCTATCCAGGTACCTGTCTGTGCTAGAGAAGGGAAGAAAGAGCAAGGAAGAAAAAGAGAGAAAGAGGAAAAATAAAAGAGAGAGAGAGAACGAGAAAAATGTGGTTAAAATACTTTGTTCATGACACCTTTTATTAGCCCAATTAAACTATAAGTCCAGTCCAGTCAAGTCAGTTGTGTCTAAAATTATCGAACCACCCCATTTCCCCTTAACCTTTGCTCAAATCCACTTCAGGCTAGGGGCGTCCCCCTTTTCTG